GCACTGCGACTCAGTCGCCCCACCTCTCGCAGAGGATGGCTAGATGGCTATCCTTCTTGGCGGGATATAACTTTGAGGTGAAGTATAAGCCGGGAAAGCAGAATTCCTTGGCTGACGCGTTGTCACGAAGACCAGACTATGAGCTTGCTCATGTTACAACTGTAATGTCGTCTGTGACAGATTTGATCCGCACCGTGCATGCAGGTGATGGGATGTGTGTAGCGTTGCTACAGACTCTAGGGAGGAAGGAGTTTGGAAATTCGGACAAGAAATTGTAATCGCGCGTGCACGATTGCACTGATATTAGTTAAAAAACGAGTTGCTGTACTATAGCACCGATTCATCAGATACATCAGGAATTGTGGTTCCTCATGATGAGGATTTGAAATAATAAATCTTCTTTGAGGTTCACGACACGCCACTCAGTGGTCATCTCGGTCGTCCGAAAACGTACAACTCTGTGAGTCACCACTGTTGGTGGCCCACGTTGTACAAATGGACGAGCACCTATGTGCGCACGTGTGAGACGTGTCAACGGGTAAAACCATCCCCAAATGCGGTTGCGCCGCTGCGCCACTGGCCAGCTTACCGGTTCTTACTGGGTGCTGGCATTCCATGAGTTTAGACTTTGTGTTTGACCTGCCGAAAGATTCGGCGGCCAACACGGGTGTCGTGGTATTCGTCGACCAGTTGAGCAAGATGGCTCATTTGGCAGCGGTGCTAGACACCATCGACGGGATCGGTACAGCAACGCTGTTTGTAGATCGTGTTTTCCGACAACACGGACTCCCAGAGTCGATTGTCTCTGATAAAGACCCCCGTTTCACCGGAAAATTTGGTCGACTATCTTCAAGATGCTCGGCACCAAGTTAGATATGTTGACAGCGGATCATCCGCAGACCGATGTTCAAACCGAAAGGGTGAATTGCGTCATCGAAGACGTTGTTCGCAGCGTCTGCGCTGAGACGCCGAGACGCTGGAGCGCCATGTTGTCACTCGTAGAGTTTGCACTGAACAATGCAGTGCATTCGTCTACCGGCTACTCGCTGTTTTACGTGAACGTGCTGATTCACCCTCACGTCCCGCTGACGCCGCCATCCCATGGCTCAGGGCTTGGTGGGGGAGAAATAGCCGAACGGCTTGCTGATGTCAGCCCCCCCCACCATCTGTACAGAAGTCGATGACTTCTTGTCTTCCAGACTGAGTGTCCTACGACACGTTCGCGATGCGATGGCTGAAAACCAAGATCTGCAGAAACAATATGCAGATGAAAAAGGAAGAGGCAAAGTCGAAAGCTTGAAGGTCGGGGGACCTGGTTGTATAGAATTCTAAAATCCTGCCTACACATGCAACATCTGCTAATTTCCGGACGAAGCATCGTCCACGGTTTATTGGACCGTTTAAGGTTGTGGCCGAACGGGGCCTGGCGTACACGCTGAATTTTCCGAAACGGATGCGCACCCACCCGGTTTTTTACGTGGAT